CAATTAATCGCCTTACCTTTATTATCCCTTTTCATCATTAGAAATAATCAAGGTGGACAAGTCAACCCTTCACCAAGTCCTATTACTCCCAAACACATATCACAAGGAAATACGCGAATTTCATACACTTAATAAGGATTTAGAAATTCACTTGCCTTGATCAATCAAGAATTCACTCCGGAACTTGGGCCTTCTCCTTTTGTTGAACTTCCAACTCAGAGCAATCTATTCAAATAAATAGTCACAATAAGATTTCAAAACTCACAACCCTCATATTACTATGTGTTTATTCTTGAACCACAAATTCACCCAAATTTATGATTAAGTTCCTAAATCTTGATGTCAATTAACATTTCAAATATCATATTTTCCATATTTCAAATCTAAAGTTAAGTTCCAATTTTTTCAAATAATACAACGTAATAATTTTCATATAATATAATATCACTAATTTCAAATATTTCAGATTTTATCCCCACCAAAATTTCCAAAACAAACTACCACACTCCTTTCGATTTCCTTATTTAACGAGCATATTATAATAAATAATATTAGATTAACTGCTTATCGATTTAAATAAACGTAGCAATAAATTCTTATCGAAGAGCATTTATTGCTCACGCTCTTTTTGTTATTCCTTTTCTCACACAACTCATTCAACTGAATAGTGGTAATATAATCTCATTTATATGGTTTAGTATAAAGATTTAAGAGTGATTAATATAATTATACTATAACAAATATTATATGTAGTTACGAAATTATTAGCTATGATATCAAATTCGTCACTAATTATTCGTTTTTAGTGACAAAAGTTTACTTTTCGTGCTTAAATATATGAGATATGTATTTTTAGTGACGAAACATAAAAATTCATAGCAAAATTTTGTCCACTAAAATTTCCCACCAAAAAATTAATTGACTTCATTTGTTTGGTAGTGTTAGTAACGAATTTAAAGTTATCTATGACACATTATTTCGTCACTAATAATGTATCTAATTCATAAAAAATATATGTTGTCTTATAATTTATTAAATTTTGATTGAAAAAATTCATCTAAAAAATATGTTGTTATAATATCGACAAATTGGAATTTGCAGTTAGATATTATAAATTTTAGCTATGAAAATTAAAATTAAAATTTAATTATGACATTTATTTCACATAATTCAGAGACAATTTTAACCCTTTTCCATTTATTTATAACAACAAAATTCGGGGTAAGTGAAATTTAGAAGCTTACTGCAACCTCAACACCATCTCCTTTAACTGTAATTTTCGATTATAAGCTTTAATATTTGCAACTTTCCTTAAAAGATTATTTGTATCAATTCTGTCAAGAAAAATTGTTCATTTCGGTTATTGATTGCCAGAAGTTAAGGATCTAATTTCGATGGTATGAACTTTTCACTTTCTCCTTGAGTTTCACAGTGAGCTTTCGTGGCAGTTTGAGGACTGATTTTAATAGAAATTTTATATCATGATTTAAATTATCATGAATGGCGCCCACACTAATTCTTTAATGGGAGGACTAACTACTAGCTCAACTTAACCCGTCACGAGTAGTTATGAAAATCAAATTATGAAAGAAACAACTAAAAGCAATTTAAAATTTGGTTGAGTTTTCATAAACTCAATCAATAGTTAAAACATTGCAAAATTTAAGCACTTGAAACGGAAAGTGGAAGTACAAAACTTTAATTAGTCAATAATGAGGATGCACTATCGTGAAAGCTAAAAAATACAAGCTAATAGTTTAATTTAAGATATGGACAAGAAGATATCGAAGAATCCATAACAACCTAAAAGTAGTTCATCCTTAAATTTGACGATCATGCTTCCTTCAAGTGAGGTCTCATATCAATCGTCTAAATATATGTTGCACTCTATAAGAAAAAAGCAAGTACAATATCAATAAAGACCATATTATACTTGTAGGATTGCATATCTAGTTTCAATCATACATAATTCTAATATATTTTTATTCTTTCTATGCATAATTTTCTTAATTGTTATCTTCGTTGCTAATATATTTTAAATTAGTTTATGCTTTTCAATGTTTAGATATATTATTTGATTTGGACTTGTAAACATTTATGAATTTTTTTTATTTTGTAGTCGAACGAAAGTCACAGTTACATTAGGTTCAAAATTTTAACAATTTACTTTGTAAATATCTTAATTTGTATCCAAATAACTATAGGCATGAATTTTATCAGACTGAATATATTGATATTTCAATAAAAATATTTTGTACTCATGTAAAATTAATCGCTCAATTTGAAGATGGTTAGCTTAACACATTAAAATCAAATACAATATGATGGCTTTCTCTTCTAAAGGCAGGGGTGAAGATACCATTGCGACATTAAGTAAGGAATTTGAGGAAATCAAGGCGCATCCATTTCGTCATCTTAGCATATTTATATGCAATAGGTAGAAAACATTCCGCCCTTCTAGCCTCGAGTAGTGGACTTCACATTTAGTTAACATTTATAACTTACAAATTCCAAACCTATGACATAGGTAAAAGTGAAAATATATTTGATCTCTTTTTCAATCATTGTGTAATTTTAAGAAAATCGAAAGAACTAAAAAATTGAAATTGAAATAGAAGAATCAATTGTATCTTAGTGTATTTTGGTTTATAAATTTGATGAATCAACATATTAGGTTTAATTATTTTTAATGAAATATCAAATCATTCCAACCTATAATTTTACAAAGAATATATTGTTATAATGAATTCTATTTTATGTTATAGGTAGAATGTTATTATACAAAAATAAATAATATAAAAAAATATTACTTTTTGAAGAAAATCAGTCCATTATAAAAAAAATTTCACCCTAAAAATAATCAACCGTCATAAAAAGATTTAAAGAAACAGAAAAATAAATAAGTGAAAATAAATTTAATCGAGTTAATTAAAATAAATAAACAAATATGACATATGAAATGAACACGTGGAAGTAGTGTAATGTTTTTGTTCTTATATAAACACCAAAACAATTTCAGTTACTTCACTCTTTTGGCTCTTTCCGTCTAAGTGTGAAATGCACTGAGCTAAGCTACCTCTTCAATTTCTTCTACTCTCATTCTCACCAATTCAATCCACATTTTTCATACTTGTTGCTGAGGAGACGGAATTTCAGTATGGATGGAGGTGATACTTATCAAACGGTTAAAGACGATTCCGGCGACATCGCCGGCGGTGGTGAAACGGTCACCATCAACATCCGATGTGTCAACGACTCCAAGTTATCTGTTCAAGTTAGCCTCGATTCCACCGTCGGATTATTCAAGTCCATCCTTTCCCAGCCGACTGATATCCCTGCTGAGGAGCAGAAAGTTATCTATAACGGCCGGATCTTAAAGGATGATCAAACCCTAAAAAGCTGTGGTAATAATTGATTACTCTTATATAAATATTTTTTTTGCTACTTTATTAGTAATGCTGAATTATCTGTGTTTACTTTTTATTACTCACGTTGCTGATCAATCAATCAAATGTACCTCAATTACGAACTTGTTAGGGTTTGTGAAATTAATGTTGTAAACATTGTTCTTTATTTGGAGTTAAAAAATATTATTTAAAAGAATATTTGTATGTTTTTTAACTTGTATGTAATATAGAGGTGCATGTTAAATATCTGAAAGTTCAGATTTTTTTTGGGCTTTAACTACTGAATGTAGAGAACAGAACTGTACTTCGGTTTGCTTGCGATTGTATGCTAATGCATTTTCCTGTTCTGAGGAGTAATTTGAATTATTTGTTCATTGTGGAAAATAATGTATTGAGAACTGTTTTAACAAGAAAAAGAAATAATGCATATAGAAGTTGTTTCCTGAAATGGAGGAGAATCTGGTTTTGGAAAATAATTCATTGGAACTATTAGCGGGTGTTGAGATTGTGGATATTCTTAGAATGTAGAAGTATCTTCTTTGACGGTTGTGAAGGAGATATCCTGCAATTGAAGGGAGTAGTAATTTTTGAAAGCCTACATTCGACTCCTACGTACAATACTTGACGTCATGAGCTCATTCGCTCCATCTTGATAGGTAGGATTACGTTGACAAAATATTCCTTAATTTCTCGATTTAGAAGTGCAAATTTAAACTTTGTGTGCAAATTTTTAACCTCTTTGTTTGTGTTCTTTCCAGAATAGATGGAAATAATCGATAAGTTGTGTGTTAATGCATTAGGACCAAATTTCGATTCTAATAGATTTAAAGTCTTGCTTATTTGTTACAATATACTCCCTAATCTGGCATGTTTTGTCTTGGGATAAGAAATAGGTAAAGGTCAATAAGTGGAAAAAAGTAATATAGAGGAATGATGCAGTGGTATTGGGGTTTATAAGGCTTTTATTAGAGTATGAAGCTGTGTACGTGGATCTGCAATAGCAGGAAATCTTCATATTTGTTGCAGTTCAGTTTTCATTTTACTACGTAGATTTGATTTAGCATGTATTCTCTTGTCTTTAACATGATGCTACTTAATGCAAATTATGTTGATCTGATTCATGATTGGTTACTTATAACCACATAACATTCTGGATTGAGCTTTGGAATCTTATACTATCAAGATGCATGGAGCTTCTATTTATCTGCTCTCTTGTTGCATGTTATCAGCTGTCAGAATAAGAATCATAGTAAATTTAATTTTAATATTTGTGGCAAGCAGGTCTCGAGGCAGACCACACAGTTCATCTTATTCGAGGTTCTGCCGCAGCTGCTTCTGCTAGTGCAACCAATGTTGTAAATCCAAATGCTAATCAGGATGCTCCCAGGGTTGCTGTTCCCACTACAGGGGGGCTATTTATCAGAGTTGGTGGAGGTCCACTCTTTTCTGGACTTGGAAGTAGAGGTGGTTCGTTTGGAGCTGGACTTCCAGATTTTGAGCAGGTCCAGCAACATGACTCCAATATGATGAGAGAGATATTGAATATGCCTCTAGTTCAGGATCTAGTGAATGACCCAGAAATCATTTGCAACTTTATCGTGAGCAGTCCTCAAATGCGAGAGTATGTGAATCTTAATCCCGAGCTCCCACAGATATTCAATGACCCTGCTATATTTCTCCAGACATGGGAGGCTGCACGTAATGAACTCATGCATGAGACGATAAGAACTATTCAATGGTCATTGAGCCACACTGAATCGTCTCTTGAGGAATTTAACATGCTAAGGCACATGTATGAGAATGTCCAAGAGCCATTTCTGAATGCAACAAGCATGGCTGGAGATACAAGAAATGATTCAGGGACAAACCCGTTCGTGGCTCTTTTGGGAGCCCAGGAACAAGGTAGAAACTAGTCAACTAACCCTCCAGCTACTGGTTCTGACACAACTGCTTATCCTCCTGCTCCAAACTTGAACCCATTTTCGGATCCTTGGGCATCAGCTGACTGTAAGTTTCTAGCAAGTTTGTGGATCTAATTCTATTTGCCGCTAGATTTGACCTTGTTAATTAATCTCCTATCTTGTTCACCAGGGTCTTCTGCATATTAAAAGAAACTTTTTATCTCTTTCCTATTTCTCATTCTGGAGATGCTTTCATGCATCTTCACTGCTTGGGTTCCATGAAGTCATCATACTCATGCAATTTGTGCTTAGAACTTGAATATTTGAACACCTGTTCTCTGTAGCTACTTTTTTCTTTGTTTTTCTCCGGTAAAAATATTTCAAAGTTTACCATAATTTTGTCAGGATTTCTTAAAAACAATTTTATACTTTTAACTATATCAGCTAATGTCTTATGTATGTAGCATTCATTATCTTGCTTCCCCCCTTCCCCCTTTTTCAACTACTTTTGATAAGCGGGGTATTGCCTTTTTACTCTATTTTGCAGTTGGAGGTGCCCAAATGAATACCGCTCCCAGATCAAATGCTTCTAGGAATATTTGGGGACCCTCTCCTGGTTGTTTGGATGACGTAGCATATTTGTAGCGAATGCTAGGTGGCATACCTGGCGCCTCTTCTGAAAATCAGTTAATAGGATACCCATCCACCTCACAGATAATGCAGCACATAAACCAAGTATTTATTTATTTAATTTGTACTAAAGCTTACAAATAGTCATCGAGTTTAAGGTTTTATTCTTTTTTCTCCTGGTTTTCTTTTTTTGTTGTTTGTGATGGAGAATTTCTTGTCAAGCTTCTCATTTCTTGAGTATCTTGGTGGTTAGATTATGGGGCTCGACCCCAACTCTTATCCTGGGGATTTGATGCCAAATCCTGAATTAATTCATCAGTTGATGTCGTCTAAGAGGATGTAGGTAAAGAATTTTTACATGTTGTCTTTAAGTTTTGCTTGTTGGAATTGTAGAATGTGTAGGTGGTGCATGCAGTGTGGCAAATCTAGAAAATCGGGTATCACTCTCTTTTTGATACATAAAGGTTAATGATAACTTACAACTCAATGAGGTAAAAGTTATGTTAGAAATATGTTTAGAGCCTGTTTGGATTGGCTCTGGGCTTTTAGCTTATAAGCCAAAAGTCATACTATTTTTGTCACACTACATGCACCACTTAATAGAACTTTTTTGTTTTACACATATACTAACATAAGTGCTTTAAAAATATTTTGGCTTAAAAATACTTCAATAAGTCAATCCAAATGGGCACTTAGTAGATTTGTCGCAAACTTACACCTAGAGGTAAATAAGTTAAATTACAGCTTAAAAAGGTAAATGTATGACTTCTTCCATTTTCAATTTATTTGTTTGGTTTTGACTTGGCTTGAAGTTGTAGAAAGTAAAGAAGACCTTTGTGTGGTCTTAAATTAAAGATAGGTAGAATTCCATAACATCCTTTAATCTTGTGGTCTTGTGGTCTTGAACATGTGAAAAGTTAGAACTAAAAGAGTTGTCACAACATGAAAAAGACATTCTTTTTTAAATAGACTAACAAAGAAAGTAGGACAAACAAATTGAAATTCAGGGAGTATTAGAAATTTGCATAGTAGAATTGGTGCAGAAAGAGCTTTTGCAGATTGATCTAGTGAGAACTTGAATCAGATTGTTTTAGAGAGATTGTCAAAGATGCACCAAGAGGTCACAGGATAATCAATTGAGTTTATAAATGTAGTGTCTCTATGTGTTGAAAATGTAGATGCGGTCTTAGTGGCTTAGTGTAACCATTCTCATTAGTGGTCGTACTGATTACTGAAATGACACTAAATATTAATGCTGGGCATCTGTAAGGAAAAAGAATAAAAACATTTACTATGAAAAACAAAGGGGAAAATAGCAACAGAAAAAATCAAACAAAAAAATATTGTCTATTTGTTATTCGTTTCTCTTATTGGACACCATTGAACTACTTTCAACCCTTGCAATTACTTTTTTAGATTCATTTTCTTACTAATCTAAATAAGCTAAGCTCCGACAATGTTAATTTATCAAAAATAAACTTTACAGATTTTAGTGTCAAGTATGACATGATAGACACTGTCCTTCAGATTTTATTATTTCAATACAGAACTATACTTCAGATTTTATTATTTATGTGTCTACAGACTTTATTGTTCATTGAAACTGTTTTCATCATCATTTCATTAAATATTAGAATATTAATATGTCTTTTATTTCTCTTGAACATGATGTATGTTTTTATGTCATATTACTGTTAAGTGTCACTGATTCATCAAACATGTTTTCTGAGCACAATATAAGACATTCCGGATTGAACATTTTTCATCTATATAATTTAAAAGTTATTATATTGACCATTTGGAGGTACCAAGGGTTTAAAAGAGAATCCTTTTGATATGTGTCTGGAAATAATTGTTTTTTTTTGAAAAAAAATTTGCGTTTTATTCATCTTTAACAAAAAGACACTTGTTTTATTCATATGTTTCTGGACATAGAGCATGATGTGTGCATAATTCTTCGGGTATGTTCTTCCTTCATTCCTTTCTATTTTTTTACAATCGTTCTTTTTCCTTTTAGGAATATCTGGTACAACAAGGGCTATTTCCTTACCTTGATCAGCCGCAACCAAACAGTAAGTCTGGACATATATCTATGGATTTTCACTTGGCTGGAGAATCTCACACCTCCTGATTCAGCTGATATGATGATATGCATCTCCTTGTCTCGTTATTACTCATTGTTTCTTGTCCTACAAGTCACCAAAGGAAAAAGAAATATTACTTAGATTCATATTTCACTTGCCAAAAAATAGTCTAAGCCTTTCTAATTAGGTGGGATAAAAGATAAACTTGTGAGTGGCTCGAGATTTTTACTCTGATTATTTGGATCAATGGGGTAATTTTCTGCCTTGCGTCTATCACTTCTGACAATATCTTTTCCGCATGCAGAGAGCAAGATCAGGACGAAGCTGACGAAACAGGTAATATTTCATTCTCTATATTTCCCAATTTGATATCTTTGTAACTGTAAATATACCCTTAGGTTTGGAGGGAATGATCTCTTGATTTAGGAGCAAATGACTCCTCTTACAATATTTTCCAAATGTTACTTAAGTCTAGTATTTTAATGCAAAACTGGCCTATTATGAACAATACACTTTATATTTTTGTGATGCACATTATTTGTGATGTTTCATATAAATGGACAACTTCTTTGTATTGTTACATCGCATATGAAATTTGAGATATTACAAGGGCGACAGAACTGATTTGGATTTATACCTGTTAGGAGTTTATTTTTTGTTAAAAATATTGATTGAAATTTATAGGTTGAGAATGCGGGTTTGGTGGGGATATAGAAGACACAAATTCAGATAAAATATATAAAAGTCAGAAATGAACTGTACAAAAGAGTGATATTAGTATGAAAATAACGAGATGAGATATAAATTTGTATCCGGAAAAGGTGGTTTATTGTGGGGATCTGTATAACACTATTTAACACTTATGAATAAACTGAAGAAAGGTTGGATGATGAATGCTTATTTTAGATGATACTCTTTAATTGGTGAAATTAGCAAGAAAGTCAACTGAGGTTGGAACAGTTGGAACTATGACAAAGAACTCTGGTTTTAGCCTTTTATTTAGGTTAATTAAAAATAAAACAAACTACCTATGAAAAGTAGAAATTTGACAAACTATGTTCACTGCAAGTTATAATAAGATCACTCGAATGAGATCACAAGATGAGATAGTGGTGCCCAAATGTAGAGAGTGGAAATATTTGCTCTCATATTTGAGGAGAATGATATGATTGATGAAGATTTGACACAAGCTAAAATAGGATTGTGGAAACGGAGGAGTGCTAAGACAGTGGTGTTATACGTGAACGCTTAACAAAGTGAAACACAAGTTGTATGCAACGACAACGAGATAAGAGATGTTATATGGGAGTGATTGTGAGTAATGTAAATCCATGTGTATCCACAAGATAAATTTCCTAAAAATTGCGTGGATATATAGTCATACGGGGTCATTAAGATTAGAATTATCACATCTGACCCAAAAAAACACATGGTAAGATGAGAGTCTGGCTTTCTATGTCCTATGTAGACCTCCACATGCATTGGTTAGTATGTGCGAAAACATGATGATTGAAGGTGATAAAAGAAGAGAGGGATAGAAAGTTGTATTTGAGAGACTTGTAGATCTCGACATCAATATGAATTTAATGTCAGATCATAATACAATAGAAGCAAAGAATCTATACATGAGTTACTCTTATATCAGGTCAAGTCTTTGGTAGGAATCTCTTTTTGTTGTTGGATACTTGTTTGTTCGACTAACGGGATTAAGAGAGTCTAGTTCTAGGCAAAAATCTTAGTGTTTATTTTTTAGAGTTAGGGAATCTAATAATTGTGGGTGATTTTAACTCACATCAACTGTGGGTGACTTTAATAATTGCAGAATATCAGAACGGGGCAATGGAAGTGGCGAGGAACGTGGTTGATAGTACTCTAGAGAGGGCAAGTTTGCATGAATTCCCCGGATTAAATAATTGTTAGTTTATTCTCATCTTTCTCATTTTCTCTCTATATATCTCGGACTTAACTCGGATGCTCATATTCCTGTTGACATCTTATTGCAGTAGGCCCAGAGGAATTATATGCTATGTTGTTTCTCCAGGTCGTTAGACTACATCGGATTCTTTGACAGTGAAGAAACACTTATTGCCGTGGTGGAACTTGAAGAAGACAGTGAAGAGTAGTGTATGTATATTCTCTTCTTATGACTATATATATATATAGAGAGAGAGAGATCCAGATGAAATTGTTGATGTAGACAGAAGAAAAGGAGATTGGCGGAGGAACTAGTTCTTCAGTTCATTGTACATGCTATGTTAAATTGTTCATTATCATATGATTTTATTGCCTACTTTCCTGTAGCATTTTGTTTTTGCTTTGCTAGGTGGATTCAATTTGATCATAGAGTTTCCATGCAACGACTATGCTTCGAAAAAGGGTCAAAAATACCTCTAACCTACCCAAAAAACCTCACAAACATTTTTATCTAAAAATACTGTCAATTACTTATTTTTGGTGCAAATATACTCCTCTTCCCCTCCCCCCTTTGATTAAAAAATGCCTTTATAATATTAATAATGTTGTATCTAGAATTCCGTAATTTTCCTTCAACAATCTATATATCCATAGTCCAAATCCTAAATTTTCCTATTAATCAAAAGTGATACAAAGATTTACATCACCTTTTAATTCTTAGATTGTTATTAATGTTAAATATGTCTTGTTTTAAAACCCTGTTAATTTTGATTCTTATATTTCATAATTGTGGCCGGCAATTGCATTATTACAGTTAATATTTGGTTGCATAGGATTTCTAAGAAATTGTAGGTACTTGATGATACATAAGGAGGTGAACCTTTACTAATACTAATTAGTCTAATTAAGATTGGAGGCACAAAATATCGAGCAAAATATTTCACTTAGCTTCTATAATTAGAGTTATGTATGTACTCTTGTTTTGTATCTCTTATTTTTGCTGTTGTGATTGAATAAGTTTATACCTACTCTACATAAAACGTCTCATCTCGCGTATTTGCCTCTCAAAACATTTTGTTCAAGTTCGTCCATAATAATTTTATTTAGACTTTGTTGGAACGTTGTTACTTTTTGAATTTTACTATAAATATGATCAGTCACCAAATAGACACTTTATGAATCTTAAACATCTCTCTAAAAACATACATCAAAAGGGATGTTCGCCCATTTATGAGGTAACTATAACACTGTCATTCCCATTAACCCTCACTCACTTCATCCAAAATAATATATTACGTCAACTTTAAAAGTAGTCCGCGCCCTACAATTCTTTTTATATCTTTCTCAATTTTAAATGCATTATGAAGTTTTTCCAATACATAAAATCATGACTGTTTTTTTCAATTATAAAAATATGAAAAAACTTGAGCATTTGTTTTCATAAAATAAAATTTTCTATTATTTGCTTGCAGCAGTAGTAATAAACTAACCATACTAAGAGTTATAGTAATTTTCAAAAAATAAATGTTGTGGTTCATTCAAATACGGGCGTACTCTATTATATTACAACTTCGTTTTTTTATATGAGCATGTTTTATCCCCACAAAAAATAATCGCATTCACCATTTTCCTGAAATAATAAAACAAGAAAACCAGTTAATATCCAAAGAACTTGAAGTGAACAACATAATATGTTTTGTACCTTTGAAAGTGCACAAGGCCATAATTTCTTGGAGTCCTTAATGTTTTCATTTGGCAAATACTCTTTGCTTTTACAAATATCTGATTCAATTGAATATTTAGACTTTTCGAATTATTAAAATATAACTGTTAAATTTAAAAAATTAAACTATATATATAGTATAAAAAAGTAAAAGCTGAATGAGAAAATTTGGAGCAAATAATACATATTTATTATTGAAGAAAGGAATAAAACTTCACTCGAGGAAGAAAAATATGTAGATTAGAGTAAGGAAATAATATAAAGAAATTATAGTTCCCCTATTTTAAAGGTTGTGAATATTTTTTTGCATGGATCTGGAGTTAACAAGGATGATCAATATTAAAGATGATACTTATAGCTCATCCATTTATGAATGAACTATCCATTTTGGTGTGTTATAAGAGTTTCTCTCGATGTGTAGGGTTCAAGAAATGTCAATTTTAATGCTGGACTTGCTACATGCATGCATACTATCCTTAGAGAAATATGATAAGCTGTATTGTCAAATGATCAATGAGTGTGGATTGAGAATTTTGTTGTGGTCTAATGATTAATAAATTAAGTGGGCCGAGAATTACGATATCTTAATTTTAAAATACAATAAAAGTAAAAATAATAGGTTATTTTTCCCTAATTGTCCCTAATATTGATGGGGAAAAAATACATGATATCATATTGGTGATGGAAGATAACAAATATCCATAAAATTAATCAAGATAATCAAATATTATGATATAAAAACAATATACATTTTTCTAAATTGCAGGCTTTAGTCAGGATTGAAAATTAAAGGCCGGTAGTTAAAAATGAGTTTTCAACTTTTAGCCTAATCCAAGCCTCCTCTAACAATTTAGGGGCCATCAAAATTCTACTATGTTATTTTAATAATTATAATTGGTTTATGTAAATTGATTTTGGTCAGGGAGGTTATAGTTGTTGAATTGTTGTTCATCTTGTATTCCAAACATACTTAGAACAAATAAGAAAACAAAGTTTAAGAACATTTTCACAATTAGAAAATTAAAACTAGTAGCGAAACTAGAATCAGAAACTTATTTTAAAAAAATATACGAAATATTTTTCTTAAAGAAGAATTGTTGTTAATATGTGTCTAAAGAATCTTACTAATTCCAACAAACTTTGCAGAAACACGAAGTTAACAAGTTTAATGAACCAGTGAAGAACAAAAGAATAGAAGAACTGAAATTAATTCACAAATCTAAAGTTTGTAAAACACGTACCAGAATCTGGAAAATTTTTAATAGGAAAAAGATCAAGTTCACTGAATTCACAGTGTCCCCTTAAGGAAATTATTCCCCTCTAGTATCCGAGGTTTGATTTGGAATATGACCTCCCAGGGTAAAATGATCTCAATCACCAGAGTATAGATACC